AAAATTGGTGGGTATGCTTAAGTCTTCTGATAAGTGCGTCAGTATTAAGAAATACCTCAGAAACAAACCCCAGAATGAATGAATTGCAAAAGCCCTCTACTTAAGGACTGGTTTAAAATTTAACAGTGTAAACATGTAAGGTTATATGAATACATAGGTGTATTTAGACTTGGAGTCATGGTTTCAATAATACAAAATCAGAAGATGTACTTAGCTACAAAAGTAGATCCAGGTGTTATCACCTTTATATGCCAGAAAATGCTTTACGTCGCCAGAGGTCTTCGAATTTCTTTTTTCTTGAGTCACCACTAAACCATAAGTTCCTTGAAGTTGAGGATCAATTCTAATTCACAGTTGTAGCTGCAGCCCTTGGCACAATGGTGAGAAACGAAAGAAACTTAAGTCTTTGTTGAATGAATGAATTTTAGGGACAGACTTAAGGGCCCTTTTCTAAATTGTAATGAGAGATGGAAACAATACTAGAAAGGAGCTTATGGTATCCAAGAACACTTAACTGGAGAAAAAGAGATGGGTGAAGATGAAAGGAAATGAAGACTTGTCTTTTTGGAGTTCCCATCTTGGGTATTTTGGAGTTTGCTTCTAAGCCCCTTAATCCTCATTATCACTAGTAGGCCCTGGGGAGAAATACACACAAAAACACGTTTGCCATTACCAAAGTACATTGAAAGGACAGCTTTCCTATAACTTCTTTATTCCCAATTTTGCCTAATTTCTGAATTAGCATACCTATTAATAAGACTCTTACATGTGCCATGGAGATGTTGCTTTTGTAGAAATTTGACTTCCTGAACTTTCCGCACTCATATTTCTCGTCTCTTTTTTTTAAGATTTATTTATTTATTTATTTATTTTAGAGAGAGAGAGTGTGTGTGTGAGTGCATCTGCGAGAAAGAGGAGGGATGGGGGACTGGGGTAAGGGGGTGCAGAGGGAGAGGGAGAGAGAGAATGTCAGGCAGACTCCACACTGAGCACAGAGCCCCACACCAGCAGATCCCATGACCCTGCGATCATGACCGGAGTTGAAATCAAGAGTTGGCTGCTTAACTCACTGAGCCACCCAGGTGCCCCTTTCCACTCAGTTTCTATTCAAATCAACTTCAACCGCTCCTGAACAAGAAGTTCTAGGAAAGATTACAAGGTGAAAATGATTGGACATAGAGAACGCAGGGAAGAGAAGACTCTTCCCAACCCCTTAAACTCGGAAGATAAGGCCTTTAGGCAGCAGAAAGCTGAGACCTGGCTAGCCAGGCCGAGTAGGTGAGTGTACAGCCCCCTAACTGAGGTGCTGCGAGGACCCAAGGTCACCGGGGTGTCCACCGAGGTCAGGGCTGTGATGAGGGTCTGGTTTTCTGTACTTAAGGATTGGAAAGGCATTTTTCATGCCAACTTTTTTTTTTTTTTTAAGATTTTATTTATTTATTCATGAGAGACAGAGGCAGAGGGAGAAGCAGGCTCCCAAGGAGCAGGAAGCCCGATGCGGGACTCGATCCCAGGACCCTGAGATCATGACCTGAGCCGAAGGCAGACGCTCAACCATCTGAGCCACCCAGGCGCCCTTTCATGCCAACTTTCCCTGACCTTATAATCCTAGAAATTTCCAAATCAGAGACAGAATCTGTAGTTTATCTTTCCATTTTTCTAGTTAGCAATTGGACTGAATGTGTAACCCTCCAGTAATAAATGGCACTTTAGGTTAATGTTTAACTTATAAACCTTTAGGAAATGAAGTATTACCTTGTATTTTTATCACTGATTTTGTTTTAAGCATTTCACACAAATGGTTTTATTAGTTCTGTTAACATCCCTATAACTAGATAAGGGCAAGAATGATGATACATGATAAATCAAATCCCTGAACCACAAGTTAGCTAAATATTAACCCCAGTTTCTCAGCTAAGAGCGGTTTTGTTGTTGCTGTTTCTTCAATGTTTTTTGCTCTCCACTGGATAGCTTCTTTGCAGGGAAGATGTTGAAAAGCTTGGAGACATGTCCTAAAGTTTCTCAACAGAACTTTATCTTCTTGCTATTTGAGTGAGGGCCTTAGCAAAATCTGTCTGTGAGAGGTGGAGTCCCATTGGCTGAGTCCTGTCAGTAAATCCTTTGACATTCTTTGAAGGTGAGGATTAGGGCTGACCCAAGGCAAAATGATGAAATAATTCGTTATCTATCCTATTCTCCTCCTACTTATAGGCACTCACCCTGGAGACCTCCTTATTCCCCTGAACCTCCATGTGATTGCCTCATCGAGGACTTAAGTCCACTCAGGTTCCATGCTTTTTTAAAAAATTCAGGTCCTTCGTTTCATCCTTGCTGGAGCATAATTGCTTTCAAAGATGACAACTAACCAGATAAATGAATTAGGGGGCTGGTTGCATTGGCTAAATCCATTTTCTCACCCCATTTCCACCTTAAATCACTCTGGCTTTTGCCCACCTCCTATACTGAAGCTGGTTATCGAGTACCTCCTGTGTTTGAGTTCTCAAAGGCATTAGACACCCTTGACTCATTCTTTCTTAAATATTCTTCCCTTAAATTTCAGACTCCGTTTTCTCCTGGGTTTCCTCCTACCTCCGGCCACCCCTCAATCTCCTTTGTTGATTGCTCCTCCTCTGCACAGTCCTTAAATGTTACTTCCTCAGAGTGCTCTCCTACTGTCTCTTTTCTTATTCCAAACTTGCTAATTAGGCTATCTCATATACTCCCTGGCTTTGACTGCTTTCCCTACACTCAGGACTCCCATATCTGTCCAGCCCATCTCTCTCCTGAGGTTTAGACTCCTACTTCCAATTGCTCACAGGACATTTCCCCTTGGATATTTCACAGGTAGCTGAAACTCTGCAGGGCCAAAACTCATTCTCTAAACTTCTCCTTCCTCCTCCATGTCCCTAACTCAGTGAATGATACCACCAGAAACCCATATAGCTTATAACTAAAAATATGGTTTAACCAATAAATAGCTTTTTTTTTTTAAGAGTTTATTTATTTATTTGACAGAGAGAGAGATAGCGAGAGCAGGAACACAAGCAGGGGGAGTGGGAGAGGGAGACGCAAGCTTCCTGCCAAGCAGGGAGCCCGATGTGGGACTCGATCCCAGGACCCTGGGATCATGACCTGAGCCGAAGGCAGACGCTTAAGGACTGAGCCACCCAGGCGCCCAATAAATAGCTTTTAAACACAGTTATGTGCCACATACTATGCAGGGCATGGACACAAGGGAATAAGGTGTTCCATATGATTGGTCCCTGTCCTTGGGTTGCTTATAATCCAGTGAGGAAGGCAGACATCAAATAAATAATTGCACAAGTAACCGATTTGTCATAAATTAAATCATTATCAACACTACTATGGAAAAGACAAAGAATCATCTTTGACTCTTCCTCCTTCATACATTGTATCACCCATCAATTCTATCTATCCTACCAATTCTAACTACTAAATTTCTCTTCAGTTTGTCCCCTTCTCTCTGTGCCACCCCCACTAATACCTCTCACTTAGACTACTCAAATAGCTTCCAAACAGGTTTCCTGGGTCTATCCTTATGCCTGAAGTCCATTCACTACACTATATCCATAGTGGTCTTTCAAACATGCAAATCTGCATGTCATTTGCCTGTTTAAAAACCATCAATGGGGGGTGCCTGGGTGGCTCAGTGGGTTAAGCATCTGGTCATGATCTCAGGGTCCTGGGGTGGAGCCCGGAGACAGGCTCCCTGCTCAGTGGGGAGTCTGCTTCTCCCTCTACCCCTGCTCCTCCTCCCACCTGTGCTCTCTGTCTCTCAAATAAATAAATAAAATCTTAGGGAAAAAAAAACTTAAAACAAAATAAAATAAAATAAAAACCTTCAATGGGATGAAGTCTATCCATCTTACCATGGCCCTCTATGCCTGGTCCTTCCTTCCCTGCTTATAAATTTACCTTATCTCTGGCCACCCTTCCTCCTTGCTCTCTACTCAACTTTTTGAGCATTAACACATTTCCTTCCGTCTGCATAGAGCACTCCGCTGCCCCTTGCCCCACTAACGTTTCATTTAACTAGTTCCCATTTTCTTCAAATTGTCAGAAAGTTTATCCAGGTCAGCTCTTCACATTGTGCCCTCTCCAAGCTCTCTGTGGCTTCTGTTTTTGTGACATTCATCATGTTTGTACTGTGATGTTCCATGAGGACAGGGACCATATCTGTCTCATTTATTGCCAAATCCATATCGGTACCTGGCCCAAGAGATATATTCAGTAGTATTTGTTGAGCTACATTTGTTATATAAACCACAAATAGGGGTGCCTGGGTGGCTCAGTCGTTGAGCTTCTGCCTTCAGCTCAGGTCATGATCCCAGGGTCCTGGAATTGAGCCCTGCATCGGGCTCTCTGCTCAGCCGGAGCCTGCTTCTCCCTCTCCTGTGCCCCCTGCTTGTGTTCCCTCTCTCGCTGTGTCTCTCTCTCTGTCAAATAAATAAATAAAATCTTAAAAAAAAAAAGAAAAAGAAAAGAAAACAGGAAAGTGTGATTTAAAATCCCTCTGAACCTGTCTTGTGCCTTTCATCACAACATTCTAAACTGCTTATAAACATTTCATAAGCCAAGTTGGCAGAGGAATCATTCAGCCATGGGAAAAACCAGTACACGTCAAGCAGTCACTCTAGAGAACAGGGAGGTCAGTGACTGGAGGTGGCAAGACCCGGTTAGACGAGCCACAGCTCCCTCTGACATTTTCGGAGGAGCATGTCTCTGTCTCGACTTTATTCATATTGACCCTCACTGCTCTTGCTGTATGTGACCTTCCAAATGATTTACCTTATTTGACAAAAACAAAGCGATTGTGTCCACCTTAGTGCAGGCTCCTATTTTCAAACTGGCCCAAGTTTGTATTTTTGTAAAAAGTTTATGTTTGAAATTGCTCTGGTTCTCTCTCTCCTTTCCTTCTTTCTTTTCTTCTGTCCTTTCTTCTCTTACTGTCTCTCATGATGCTCTTTTTTCTCTCCTAGCACTATGACACATTTAAAATGGTTAGTCATTGTTTCCTGTCCGTGCATCCCATTGGACCACGAGCTCTGTGAAAGCAGGAACTATACCGTATGAGCCGGGCACCCAGTGCCTGCCATTGTAACAGGCATTGCTGAGGTATGATATTTTTTAATTTAAAAGAGAGAGGAAGGGATTTTTTTTTTTTTTTTTTGTCCTGGAAACTAGATAAGCTTTTTTTTGTAGGGAAGAAAGCAGACCAACTTATCAACCAGAGTCTAAGACTTTTGACTTTTCATCTCATTTCTAAGTGGATCCCATCATGTGCTCTTAAGCAAATTCTATAGCTTTTCATGCATCTTTTGCTTAATCTCTAACTACACAGAGCCAACACCTCTCTCCTACTGCCCAGGAGGAAGTGGCTATCCGCATCAACTGAATAAGGAAAGAAAAGTACAAAATGTCATGTGAATATGTTTTATTCATGAGCAACAGTATGAAAGCAGAATACAGTGAAGAAAGAACTCTTGGTCACAGAGGGTATTTTTTTCCAGCCACACCCACATACCGACAACAATCTTGGCCAGTTGTGTTTTCTCTGATTACAAAGAGGTAACAGACAAAAAACTCTGGTTCCCCAGAGTCCCACGTCACATAAAAGGACATTTTTGGAGGCAAGACTCATGGGTTCCAAGACGGAGGGGTAATCACAAGGACAAAGGTCCCGTCCAATTCTAAGATTCTAGAATTTTAATTTTGTTGAGAGTTTGGGAGCAGGGATGCTTAGCTGAACCAGAGAAGAATTCCACTTTTCTAGGTTAGTGTCAAAATTCTGGCATAGCTCTGTCTGAGGTTGAATTTGACACTTTATCTTAATCTGGGCTTAAGTCAGTTGTAGCCTTACAGGATTACAAATACAGGATTTTTAAAAATGTATTGGCTTTGCAGGGTGAATACAAAAGATAAGAAGGTATACCTTTTACTGACATCAAAAAAAAAAAAAAAAAGCCCGACCAATTCCTTTTCCTTTTATTGAATCACTCATTTAATTACCAGGCTGGGGAGAAAGAAGTATAGATTTCTAAAGCCAGAGATAATTGAAAGTAAACCCTTCAGTGTTATACTAAGAACAGGGCTATGAGGGGCCAGTGTCTATTTCTTCCAGACAGAGGGTAGAGTGCGATGAATATACTGAACACGGACAGAGAAGAGTATGCTCACAAAATGGAAAGGAAGAAGAACTGACAGAAAGCAGTTCATTCCTGCCCCAAGCAGTCACTCTACCCTTGGCTGGCACCACTCTATCACCACTGAATCTTAGAGCCCATACCCCAATGGAGAGACTCATCATCCTCTTTATCCCACACTACATCCTTATAAGGTCCCTCATTGAATAATTATGAAGAGGTTCACTTTCTTCATACAAGTCTAGTAACTGACAGAAGTGTTATGCTCATCTTGAAGTTTGGAAACATTCATAGATGGTATATACTGGTCCTCCATCACCAGAGTGAAACCAGTGGATTTCCTCCTGATTCTTGTGGTAACTAAATCATTTCAAGAATAGCCTTTTCTGTAAAATGTTTTAAGAAAATAAAAAGTATTGTGATTATTATTGAAAATGTCTTCATGAACAGAATCCTTTTTCCCCCCTAGAATCTCCTATCTTGGTCCTAAGACAAGATGCAAAAGGCATTTCCCTCATGAAGGAAATCTAAAGATTCTCACTATGATATGCAAGTACTTGCCTCTTATCTTCCTAAATGAAAGATTTCCCATTGCAATTCTTTGTAAGGGTAGATCTGTTAGTAGATTTTGATTCCAAGCCTGGTTTCCACAGATATGTCCAAGTGACAAGCATGGCTCAGGTGGCAAAGAAAATCTAAGGGACATCTTTGATGTTTGCTCTTTGGTGTCTCTCTGCCAACCTAAAACCCCAGGTTGCAGGTTAGTTTTTGTTTTTGTTATTGTTGTTTTTAATTTTCATTATGGTTAATTAACATACAGTGTTATATTAGTTTCAGGTGTACAATATAGTGATTCAACAATTCTGTACTTTACTCTGCAGGTTCGTTTTTAACATAGAGGATTTATAAGCCAGTATAATTTTTCACCTATCCACAAATATTTTCACCCATGTTTTCATAGCTTTCCGGTTTCATCTATATAGATAGTATCATTAAGTAGACATGTATAAAAAGCTATGGGAAAAAAAAAAACAAAACCTATTTCATACAGGTCTGTTAGATTATAGCCAGTGTATATTTCTCACAAAATCCTGGGGCACAATCAAATTCCCTATTTCCATATGGAGTGGGAGAACAGTTTGGAAAAGAAAGAGGAAGACTCTTAATACAGAGAGTATAAAAGCCAATAGCTTCCAAGTCCTGAATTGCTTCTGACCTCTTTTCCCTTGCTATACCAAAGAGATATGCAAATATTTTTCATTCTGCTGATGGGTACAGTGTTAATGAATTAGTGTTGGCAAGATCTTTTGAACGGAGAATGTAGAGTTTATTAAGGAAGCAAGAAACAGAAAACTAGAGAAAGCCCTCTTGGTTGGCCAGATTTTATAATGTTACATAACATGTTTTTTGTACCATGGAATAGGGCAGATGACCTTAAAAAGAATTTGTTTGTTTGTTTGGTTGTTTTGAAGTCTTCCTGTTACTTTGACAATAGCAAAAAGCAGTCTGATTTAGCAATTACTTAAAATGTTTAAAGGGTCAAGTATCTGGGAGAATGGGAGCCAAATGGTGTAGCCCCTACTCCTTTGTTTCAATCCTTCACTCAGTAAGCATTTACTGAATACACAGTGTGTGTCAGCAATATTCTAGGCTGTATGGGAGATACCTTCCACTAATGAGTTTATCATTTAGCAGAGGAGGTAAGCTATACATATACAATTATCTATACTACCAGACAATGTCATGTTTGGGACATTTTGTAGGGAGCTGGCCTTTGAGCTGGCCATATACAAGATGAGATTTTCTAGGCAGAGGTAGGCCTTGGTAAAAATGTGGCCAAACTATCTCCTCTGTGAAGTTTTCTCTGTCCCTCTTCCCTCCCCTGCCCCAAACAAAGGTAGATTTGTGTGCTCATTCTGCCCTACTGCATACTGTAATTTGTACCGACTTTCATTGTGACAATTATATTCTAATTGTTGTTTACAAGTCAGTCTCTCCAGGAAACAATAAAGTCCTTTAGAGCAGGAGCCATGTCTTTTCAAAATGACAGGAAAAGAGATCAGGATTATTCTCAGCCCCACTAACCTCATCCCATGTGCTCTTAGTAGATATTTATGCTTTTTTTTTTTTTTTAAGGTTTTATTTATTTATTTGACAGAGAGAGACACAGTGAGAGAGGGAACACAAGCAGGGGGAGTGGGAGAGGGAGAAGCAGGCTTCCCGCCGAGCAGGGAGCCCGATGCGGGGCTTGATCCCAGGACCCTGGGATCATGACCTAAGCCAAAGGCAGACGCTTAACGACTGAGCCACCCAGGTGCCCTGATATTTATGCTTTTGCCAATGAATTTTTCCAAACCATTTAAAAACTTGTATAAAGAACACACAATATTCAACAGATACATCAATACAACAAATAAAGTATTTACACCATGTATTAAAAGACCATTTATATTTCTTTTCCCATAGCTTCTCTTAGAGAAATGAATTTTCTAAATTTATTACCTACTGTGATAGCTAATTTTGTGTCAACTTGGTTGGGCCACAGGGCACCCAGGTATATGGTTCAAGATTATTCTGGGTGTCTCTGTGAGGACTTTTTGAGTGAGATTAACATTTGACTCAGTAGACTGAGTAAAGAAGAATGCCCTCTCCAGTGTGGGTGGGCCTCCATCCAATCTGCTGAAAGCCTGAATAGAATAAAAGGCTGAGTAAGAAAGAATTCTTTCTCTCTTTCTGACTGTCTTCAAGCTGGGGCATGGGTCTTCTCCCTTCTTTGGACTCTGACTCAGACTGGAACTCAACCATCGACTCTCCTAGGTCTCTAGCTTTCTGACTGCAGGTCTTGACTTTTGTAGATCTTGGTTATTCAGCCTCCATAACCATGTGAGCCAATTCCTTATAGTAAATCTATCTATATATTGACAGAGAGAGAGAAGATAAAGATGGATATTCCATTGATTGTTTCTCTGGAGAACCCAGACTAAAACACCTACTAAATAAAATAGGATTTTACTTTATTTTCGTAAGCTTAGTTTGCTCACATTTCAAAAACTCTTCAATTTAATATCTGTATTTGATGAATCATAAAACGTTCTGAAATGCAATTCTGGGAGTCTGTCCTAAGAGGCAGTGTGGTATGCAGAAAGGGCTCAAGCTTGGGAATCAGACTGACATGGGTTGAATTCTGGTTGTACCACGTATTAGCAGTGTGACTTTAGACAAGTTATTTAACCTCCTGAGGTTCATGTTCCTTATTTGAAAATAGGACTTGGGGCTCCTAGGTGGCTTAGTCGGTTAAGTGTCCGACTCATGATCTCAGCTCAGCTCTTGATCTCAGGGTCATGAGTTCAAGCCCCACATTGGACTCCACGTTGGGTATGGAGCCTACTTTAAAAAAAAAGAAGAAGAAGAAAAGAAAGAAAACAGGGCTAGTAACTTATGTCTCATCAGGCTGTTATGAGTCTCAGCAGCACCAGCGTAGTGCCAGGCATGTAAATACTCACTTAAAGTTAGTTCCTTATATTGTGACCCTGAACGGAAGAACATTACTTGGCCATCTGATCATGAAGCCAGCCTTTAAGAATGTGGGTTGGGGCTTGAGGGTGGGTGAATGGGAATGGTAAAGTCAAACCAGCTTACCTCAATATTCCCCAACTTAAATCTAATCTAATGTCCAAGATAAGCTGAATATTTTCTCCCTGTCAAACAAGTGTGGGCTCAGCCACTCATTCATTGTTAAAAATGTCATTATAATACCTCAATTTTCATTGTACTTTTCCTTTACTAATCTTAGAAGCTCATAGATACTGGCTTCTAGGAAGAGAATGAGGTCCAGTGGTTTATTATTATTCCACATAAAAATGAAGCCACAGAGATTCAGATGGTGTCTTACCTAAAAGAATATGGCAAGTCAGCCCCTAAATTCAAATCTCTCTCCAGGCACGTAGGCAGCCAACGGCAATGTCGGGTCCTTTGTAACATTATATGCCAGGTGCAGTGAGGGTGCAAAATAAAGAGAAGACATCGGTCTATCTTCAGCCTAAGAATAAAGAGAGGATAAAACTTGTGGAAAATATGTAGAAACACATCCTATTAGGAATATACATATTTATGAATGTAATTCCCTCAAGTCTTTGCTCAAATATACTTTCTCAGTGCCACCTACCTTGATCACTCTAAATTCTGCAGCCTATCCCCCTGCCCATTACTTTTAATTCTCCACTTCTTGCTCCACTTTTTACCTTACCTATATAATACCGATTATGTAATGTGTATATTTAGGTTTAATTTTTATTATCTCTCCCTCCACACACACACTAGAATGTAAACTCCACGGTGCAAAGATATTCTGTTTTGTTCATTGACGTATCCCAAGTATTTAAACCGTACCTAATATATATGAGGCACTCAATACATATCTGTGGGATAAATAGGTTCTGAGAACCTACAGGAGAGTTTCAAGACAAGGAAGAAGTTGTGAACACATGCCTTTCCTCCCTCTCCAAACCCTAGTAAAACAACGGTAAGGGGATTTTTTTTTTTAAGGCATAATCCCAGAAGATCAAAAAGGACAGGGAAAAAGGTCTTAGGAAGCTGAAAAACAGATGGGTGAGGGATTAACTGTCTTAGTAGAACCTAGAAAGCTGAAGCTTAAGCAGGCAGTGGGGAAACCCAAGAGGCAAATGATTTACACTGAAGAACCCAAAAGTGTTCAAGATTTGGTGTACCAGCTACTTTTGGAAGTGGGGATGGGGGTGGGGAATGGTGTGAAGGTATGGTTTAGGACAGGGTAATTGTTCTGTTGTGAGGAGATTCCTCCCCTGACTCCAGGCAAAACACTGGAGGTTTATTCATTGGTAGGGTTGTAATCAAGCATCTCTTGACTGGAGAACACCAATTCTTCTAAGGGCAGAGTTATTGTATTGGTCCGGATCCAAGCAGGAGACAAAAACTACACAGTATTATACAAAAAGCTGGGGGTTAAGTAGAATATATACCGAAGCGTACACTCCTCAGCTCTTCTCTTCTTTCAGCTTCTAAAATGCTGGCATCCAGGCTGAACTATTCAAGCAGGAGATTGGAAGAAGCTTCTTTGCAGACTCTGACAGCCTACAGAAAAACTTATGATATAGTATTGGGAATGATGCAAACAAACAGTCCAGTCAGGAACACAAAGATCTGCTTGCACTAGATGTGCCCTATCACATGCTCAGAGCCTCTGATTGGCTTTTTGGTGTCTCACTAGATACATGAATAAACAGCCAAGGATCATCAGTTGTCTGCGGAAACATATTTGCCAAAACAAAAAACAGGAACAAAATATTCGGAGGACAAGAGACTATGTAGTGCGAAGAAAAATATTCCCTCAAACTATCATTAATAATCTCAAAGGAAAAAAAGAAAATATTGCATCCATGGAACAAGACAATATGTAATAAAAAGGAAAATTCCAAAAGAATTTTGCCAATTAAAGTATGATAGCAGATCTTAAAAACTCAATACAAGGTTTGTAAGATGAAATTGAGGAAACTGCCTAGAAAACCAAGCAAAAGAAAAAGATGTGGAAAATAAAAGAGAAAGATTAAAAAAAATGGAGGATCAATTCTGGAGATGAGAGAGAGAGAAAACGGGAGGAAATAATCAAAACAATTCTCAGAATGGAAGGACAAGCATCTCTAGATTGAAAGAGTCCACCAAGGCCTTGATACCAAATGAAAATGGATCCATACCAAGGCACATCATTATGATATTTTGGAAAATGGAAGACAGAGAATATCTTAAGAACACGCTTTTTCATGAGACTAATAGAGAAGGGGCTTTTCCAAAATAAGAAGAAACCAAGAAAGAAAAAAACACAAAGGATCCAGGAGCAGGAAATCCAAAGTAGGAGAGAAGAAAAGGGACTCTCTAGAATGATGCTGAAGAGAACTGGCCAAATAAGACCTAGTCAGCAGGCTTGGAGAGCAGCCAGTCCAGGCTGGAGCAGTTGAGAACCTGGAGAAGGTTCCAGGAGAGATCTCTTTAAGAAGATGAGATTGATAGAATGCCCAATGTAACCAAATGTATTAAGAACAGATATAGACCACTGGTAGGGAATTTGGGTTGAATTAATGGTAAGTGCCTAGAAAACTAAAAGAAAAAAGACAATCATTAGGCTCAGAGAAAACAAAAAGTTGCACAGGAGAGAAATCAGGGATATATTATGTGGCTATTGAGTGAACAATATTTACATAGTCATGGTAATATCAACACTGAATATTGATATAACCAAAACATAAAACACAACTGTACTGGGAGGACAGGAAAAGTGAAACATGCATATACCCATGTGCACAAATGGGATGTGGCGGTGGGAGAGGTGGTAATGGTGAAGAAGGTGAAAGTCTCATCTTCCATAGTGGGAGACAATAAATAATGCATAAAAAAATTTTAAATCCATAAGTAGCCATAGAAGCATGGTAAGGAGTGGTGGATGAGGTATTGCTATTTTCAAAATAAGCCTTATAAAATGGTTTAAACTATGTGTACATGGGGGCGCCTGGGTGGCTCAGTCATTAAGCGTCTGCCTTCGGCTCAGGTCATGATCCCAGGGTCCTGGGATTGAGCGCCGCATTGGGCTCCCTGCTCCACGGGAAGCCTGCTTCTCCCTCTCCCACTCCCCCTGCTTGTGTTCCCTCTCTCGCTGTCTCTCTTTGTCAAATAAATAAATAAAATCTTTTTAAAAAGTAAAAAATAAACTATGTGTATGTGTAACTTATATATAAAATAAAAGCAAAATGCAAAGAGACTGTAAGAGACTTTTCAAGTGAACAGAGCCCACTGGGACATTCCCCCCCTACCACCGCCAGATCTATGATCCTGACATTGTCTTATCTCCTATCTCACCAATCGCCCCCCAGTATGGCCACCACCTCCACACCCAAACCAGGGCACCAAGAGAGGAAAGGGAGACACTAGTTGAGTCTGGGATCTGTTCTGTCAGGATCTTGTTGGGAGCCCTGGATCATTTTTAATCTATTATTAGTGTAGGCAATTAAAGTTACAAACATCAAAACTAGATCATCTCTCCTCATGTATTTCATCCTCCTTACATTTCACTGAGTGTCTTAATTTCAAAACCCTTGATTCTAAATGCACCTTCTCCTTCTTTCTCTAGGTTCTCCTCCTCTAGAGGCAGGAATGGCCTCAGGGTCCATCTGCTTTTGGCAAGCACCCACACCTGCCAAGTCTTCAACACTTGGGTAACAGACTGTTACACTTTCACCTCACTGTGTTGCCTTCACCATGGATAAAAGACAGGTACTATTAGCAATAGTTATTTTTTTGTACAGAATGTTACCCTTAATCTACCAAATTCTCAAATATTTTCCTTTTCTCTTTCACTGACTACTCTATTGGCTCTATTCTAAGGCTAGTCTATGACATAAATAAGGGAACTGGTTGGAGGATACAGAATGAACTTGGTAGATCAGGTGAGCTCATCCATTCATTACACAGCACTCAGGAGAGAAGAATGTCTCATTTTAGACTAGTGGAAAACAAAACAAAACATTTCATGCTGTCCTTGGCTCTGACCTAGACAGCCCTCTTATTTGTGATAGGGAAAGTGTGCTTATCCTACTTTCAATTAAACAAAGCTAGAACAGATATTTAATATCTCAGAAGAAAGAATTAGGATTCCAAACTTAAGATTAGCAAATAAATGAAACTTACTAGAAATAAGTTTAAAGTCCCGTACTTCTATTCAAAAAACTTCTGTTCAGGGATGCCTGGGTGGCTCAGTCGGTTAAGCATCTGCCTTCGGCTCAGGTCATGATCCCAGGGTCCTGGGATGGAGCCCCACATTGGGCTCCCTCCTCAGTGGGGAGCCTGCTTCTCCCTCTGCCTCCCCTCCCGGCTTATGCTTATGCTCTCTCTCTCTCTCTCAAATAAATAAATAAATAAAATCTTAAAAAACAAAACAAAACAAAAAACTTCTGTTCAAAAAAATTTCACAAACATAACACATGGAAGATTTGGCTGAACAGTTCAAGTGAAAAAGACTGCGAGTTAACTGCAAGCTTAACCCGTTGACAGCAGGAAGTGGCTGAGGAGCGACTGCCAAAAAAGTAAATTCTTCTCTTTCTACCTCCCTGAGAACACAGGCAAGATTGCTTATGCTATATTATCAGTCAGTTTACCAATAAATATTTACCAAGGATCTGCTATGTGTCTAGTATGAGGAAAGTGCTGTGACAGGTGGAGAACAAGAGGAAGGGCTCAAGGATCTTTCAGCAGATTGACAGAAATATATATGTAAGAAATGATGGCAGTAATGATGGCTTATATTTGAAGAGTGCTTACGTTTATTATGTACAACCATTTCTATCATTTCCTTTGACTTATAGTTGCATTAGGAGGTGGTAAGTCAAATACAGTCACCATTTTAAAGATGAGAAACTGAGGTTCAGAGAAGTAAATCACTGAATCTCAAATATTTTGCTCTCAGGACCTGTTTATGGTCTTAAAATTACCAAGATACCTCACACCATATACAAAGATTAAATAAAAATGGATCAAAGACCTAAATGTAAGAGCTAAAACTATAAAACTCTTAGAAGAGAAGTTAAGTGTAAATACTTGGGACCTTGGATCAGGCAATGATTTCTTAGATATGATATCAAAAGTATAAGTAATAAAAGAAAAAAGTGAAATGGACATCATCAGAATTTTAAAATCTGTGCTTCAAAAGATACTATCTAGAAAGTAAAAATACAATGCACAAGATGCAAGAAATATTTGCATATTATGTATCTGATAAGAGACTAGTATCCAGAATATATAAAGAACTTTTATAATTCAACAATTTTTTTAAAAATCCAATTTTAAAATGGGCAAAGGATTCATACAGATATTTCTCCAAAGAAGATATGTAAATGGCCAATAAGCACATGAAAAGATGCTCAATATCATTAGTCATTAGGAAAATGCCAATCAAATCCATGATGAGATACAACTTCATACTCATTAGGATGGCGATAATCAAGAAGACAGATAATAACAAGTGTTGGTAAAGATGCAGAGAAATTGGACCCCTCACACGCTGCTGATGGGAATGTAAAATGGTGCTGGCTGCTTTGGAAAACTACATGGCAGTTACTAAGGGTTAAACACAGAGTTACCATATGACCCAGCAATTCTCCTAGATAGATATCCTAAAGAATTGAAAACGTATGTACACACAAAAACTTACACATGAATGTTCATAGCAGTATTATTCGCGATAACCAAAAAAATAGAAGCAACCCAAATATCCATAAACAAAATGTGGTATATCCTTAAAATGGGATATTATTCATCAGAAATTCATCAAAAGAATGAATCACTGACACATCCTACAACATGGATGAACCTTGAGAACATGCTAAGTGGAAGAAGCCAGTCACAAAGCACTGCATCTTGTATGATTCTGTTTATATGAAGTGTCTAGAATAGGGAAATCTATAGAAACAGAAAGAAGAATAGTGAGCAGTTGCCCAGGACTAGGGTGAGGAAATCATTAGGAGATATGAAGAGTGACTGCTAGTGGATAGGGGATTCCTTTAGGGTAATGAAAATGTTCTAAAATTGATTATGATGATGATTGCACAACTCTGAACATATTAAAAACCATGGAACAACACACTTTAAATGGGTGAATTTTATGGCATATGGATTATATCTCAATAAAGCTAATATAAAAGAAGAGTTTTTGTTTATGAAGGTTATATCTATTAAACATTCCCCCATTAGAAATTAAAACATAAATGTTTAAAATATTTGTTTTTGAAATAACAATAATAAACCTATTACATGTTAACAGAAACAAAGAAATTTTATGAAAAATAATATATTCTCCAAAACAAAAAATAATTCAGTGAGAATAGTGTTATTGTTTTACATTTTTACTAATCTCTGTAATGTCTGACTTAATAGAGGATAGCTAGATTCTCAAATCAGTTGCCATATGTTGTTTGGTTGAAGTATATGAAGAAAATCTTACCTCACTGATATGTAATTTAAAAAGGGAGGAGTATTTTGGTAGTTTTTTAAAAGATAATTGTGGATATTCTTCTTTGATACTACACTAAAACTCAACAAGTAAGTTTCTTAAAGCTTAGTTGTAACCTAGAATCTGAAACCATTTTCTGTTACATGAGAACCTACTGGTCTCTCGTGCATTTTGAATGTCCCTTTTATCCATGCATGATTTAGTAACATTATGCTTTGGTCATTTGGAAAATATCCGTTGACTGAGTTAAGCAAATCTTCCAAAATGTTGACATATTTCATTCTACAATATCAAAAAGTCACATTTGTTAATATCACCAATTTCATCAAATGAGTCTTTAGTTATTGGGAAGCTGTCAAACTCTGTGCCACATGCAAGGTTTCCGAAATCCTAATTTTCTTCTTGAAAGCTCAAATTTTACCATTGAGACAAATATTGTGAGTTCTGGAAATAATAATCTTAATTTACTAATGTTCAGGAAAATGTCTGCTAAATACTCAAGTCTGAATATCCATAGTTTGTCAGTCATCCTTTCAAGTAAAAATGATGCTATAATGAAAGTAGTGGTTACTTCAGCTCACAACTAAAATGACTTTACAGTAATGCTTTTCCTCAAGACAACCACTGTTCTTTGATATGCGGCAGGAGTGCTAATTTGGGTGTACTTTCTGTTTTGTGACACAGAATTTTTAAAGATTTTTATTTATTTACTTGAGAGGTGGGGAGAGGCAGGGGGAGAAGGAAAGAGCCCCAAGCAGACTCCGTGCTGAGCCAAGCCCCACGCAGGAACCAATCCCATGACCCTAAGATCACGACCTTCGCTGAAACCGAGAGTTGGATGCTTAACCAACTGAGCCACCCAGACGCCCCGACACAGAATTTTTTTTTTTTAAGATTTTATTTATTTATTTGACAGAGAGAGACACAGTGAGAGAGAGGGAACACAAGCAGGGGTAGTGGGAGAGGGAGAAGCAGGCTTCCCGCAGAGCAGGGAGCCCGATGCGGAACTCGATCCCAGGACCCTGGGACCATGACCTGAGCCAAAGGCAGATGCTCAATGACTGAGCCACCCAGGCGCCCCCTGACACAGAATTTTTAAAAGACATGTTCTCAATGGTCAAGATTTAATATCATTAATAGCTTTTACTCCTTTATCAAAAACACTTTTAAATGAAACTGACCTCTCTCCAAGTGCATGGCAGTGGAGAATCCAATGACCACTAGTATGGTATGGAGCTCCTACCTTGATTCCCGTCAAGGTGCAAAGAGTTTACCCACCATTACTTGGGTACAGATGTCAACATGATGGTGAAAAAAGGCAAATAAAGGCGTAATATTATTATGAGAATAATTTTGGTCTCCCAGATCCACTGAAAGTGTCTTGGGGGACCTTCAGGGGTCTGCGGATCACATGTTGAGAACCTCTGTGTCAAATGCCTCTTCCACTTATGCATCTAGTTAAGTGGTGAAACCACTGCATGAAACTAGGGTCTACAGACTCCTCATCTGATGGTTTCCTCACTGTACCACAGAATGCCAAAATGAGTGACACCCATATGAAGTCTAATGTGAATTCATATAACAAACATAGTTGGTCAAATACAGCTGTAACCAAACACAGTTGACCCTTGAAAAATAGCTTAGAACTGCCCGGGTGTACTTATATGCAGGTTTTATATATTTTATATATTTATATATATATATAAATACAGTACAGTACTATAACTATATTTTCTCTTACGATTTTTTAAGTAACATTTTCTTTTTTCCTATCTTACTTTATTATAAGAATACAGTAGAGAATACATATAACATGCAAAATATATGTGAATCAACAGTTTGTTATCATGAAGGCTTCTGATCAACAGTAGTCTATAATTAGTTAAGTTTTGGGGGAGTCAAAAGTTATAGCAGATCTTCTACTGCATGGGGGTCGGTACTCCTAACCCCCACATGGTTCGAAAGTCAATTTTAATTAAATTGCTATCAGAGGTCTAGTTAAAAATGCAATTAGTGGTTATCAGCCACATATGATCATTTTAAGCTCCACCAGTCTGGGTCATAAAGGTCGCTTAAATAGATGTGCTTAAAAGCATGAAGAGATGGGATATAGCTAGACAGTCCAAAGAGACAAGGTTGACATCCATTCCACAGACTGAAAATAACAGAACTTAAATCTTATCGCCTTTGGAAAGGGTTTCATGTACTTAAAATCAGAAAGTCAAAAACTAGGGGGGAACTGAAGAGGTCATCCACGCAAGAACCTCCT